CTGTTGATCTGTTTTCCTCGCAGAAAACCGGTAGTAACCGGCACTGACCGTCGGCAATAATCTTTGCATTGAATCGCATAAATCTCTTGATTGATTTGCAAACGTTGTGTAAATGGGCGCAATCAATTGAAATCATTTATAAACATGATTACTCGTACATAGATCAAATAAATGGTAATTAGTATATGAATTATGATGTGACAAAGCGATGCCGAATCGATTATGTTGCCTTGTGTGCGGTGTATGTGTGTGCGGGCCTGTAGATTGCGACGAACGGGGTATATTGTTCACTTTTACAGTGTAGCGAACTTGGCGAAAGTGTGCATAAAAATGTAGTAGTGATTTTAGTTCCATTACCATTGGTCTAAAAATCCGAGGCGTTCAAGATTTGTAATCAGTATTACAATTGCAATTTCCGTGCAAGCATTCTCTAAAATTCCTTATGTCTCTAATGGATAGTGGGTTTAGTAGAGTAAATTCCTCAATATTGAAACCTTTGATTCGAGGATACATTATTTTTAAAACATCACAAAATTTTACATTGAGGAAATCTTAAAAATATTGCCTGTAGGTTCTTAGCTTTACTCAAGTCTTCTTTAATATTTTTCGATTCTGTGAAAAAAAAACTATAAGAAGTATGCGACGGACTACAGGATTCTGGGCATATAATATTTAAAGAAAATCTCAAAATGTATTTCCTAGGCAAGAAATCTTAAAACTTTTACCTAAAATAGATCTATAGCTTTAGTCAAGCCTCTTTTTAAATATTTTTTGACACTGGCCATACATTTAATATATAAAGAAAATTGCTAATTGCATTTCCTAAGCAAGTTGCCTTCATGAGTGTTCTGGCTAAACCGACTCAGTTACTAACACTCAACAACTCGTGTTTCGAATCTCGAACTTAGTAATGTAATCTTAATCTTCCAAGCTTTAATATGTTCGTGTCTTTTTTTTCTGTCATTGCTGTAGTTTTCTTGAGCAAAAAAAGTCGAGAGACCACTCCGAAACAGTAGATAAGCCTTTAATCAAAAAGGTGAAAAAACTGGATTACCCACATTATCGACGGCAGTACAGATTACCTGTATCATGAAAGCTAAAAGACGCACCGTTTATCTAAAGTAGGTGTTGGTTTGGAAGGTATGAGTTTCTTCAAAAATACTTCCGACTTTATTTATAAAATTTGGTATTTACATATAGGAACTCGACCTGGGTTATGTCAGGTTAGTTTAAATGGTCGATTGTGGTACCTAGATCGCATATAAAATTGATTGACCTTCATAAATCGACAAAGCGTTTTGTGCCGATCACAAATTTTTTTGAGGCGACCAATGTCAGTTTTGGTTATGTCTAATTGAGTTCAACCAAATTTCATCTAAATCGATCTTTTCTACAACTCATGGTTGGTTTCCGTTTTTACTATTGTTATGGCGAATCTCTCTCAATTTAAATATCATAGATTCTGCTAATGTGTTAGAATGAAACACTTTGTTATATCAAAAATAAAATCAGAGATTAAAAGAGATTATCGCCAATAAAAAAACAAAGGTTTCTTTGTGTTATAATTTTCTATTTCGTATACTGATTCTGAGTTACAATAATAAAAGTATTACAACGTTCAAGCCATGCGCTTATCACAGATCTCAGTCGAGATGACTACTTGAGTTTAGGCAATAGGAAAAAGCCACAGGGAGCAAAATGTGGAGAGCTAAATGAGTTGCTAAGCGATGACTGTTGTTTGACTTATATACTCGTAGCAAACAAGACTTGTGATACCAGTATAACGGCGACTTAGTTCTCTTGTCAAAAATTTACACAAAGTTGTACAGTTAAATGCATAAGAAGAGCGTTTAACGGATACCTCATTGAAAAGGTATAAATGCTTGCTGTGTTATCTCTATGTCAGTTAATTTTATTTATGCGAGTTGCTTGTTCGATTCACCATGCTCTAACTTTCGTCGCAATTATATTAGGTTATAAAAAAGATATTTTAGCTTATCATGGAAATTTATGCTTACTTAAACTCGTCTCGTTTTATCTAATGCACATATTTGCATTTATGCCCATATACTTTTATGTAATGGTAAATCCAACATAGTTAACGTGGTAAGTCAAGTTCCAAGAAAGTACCAACTCTAACTCAGTGCTGTCTTGCAGCAAAACTACACGTATTCGGCTGAAAGAAACACTGTTATCTTTTACATAAATGCTAAACAAACACAATTAAATAAATATGTTAGATAAGCAAATATGAGTATTTATACGCGGCTTAAATGTTTCAAATTCTTGAGAGATTTCATTTAAAAGTTCGGTAGCTTTCAAGTGTGCTTTCTTCAACACACACACACACATATATATATATCTACAAAATCGCAGAGGCATGTCTGCTGCTATTGTGAAATGCAAATGTGCTTGTTAGATGATCGTAGACTTCGTTGGACCATCGTTTCGTATACAATTTAGTCGTTATTTTAAACTGAATACGCGCGGTTGTAATACGAGTAGGCGAGCCACGAGCCAAATGCACGGTTGATTATTTTGAACGACGCTTACGGTTGTACAGAGTGTTGACAGGACACTTAACAGGGTCCTTTCAATTTTTCGGTAGGGTTTTAGAATAGTTGTGGTAAACGGATGGTCAGTAAACTTGGTGTAAAATGAGCGAAAAAGTTAATTAAAATAAATATATATTAGAAACAATAAGTTTAAAGATAATTTTGGTAATTCAAAAAAAAAAAAAATGTATAAATAATAAAAAATAATAACTATATAATAAAAATATAAAAAAGTCTATAAAAATAGTAAAATAAAAGTCCGTATAAAACGTTTTGTTTCGAAATCTGCTAGAGCAGCTGAAGTTCTAACATTTTTGAAGAGTTGCGTATATTAAGAATTGTACCGTCATATGTGTATATATCCTAAGCTGTCCTCGACGATTGTCTTACACACAAATTTTTGTTGTTGCGTTGCGATACGTAACTACCGTACGTTGGATTATGAAGCCTTAAATCGGCTGCGATAAAATTCTATAAACCTTAAAGCAAAGTTTTAAAATTTTTTTCAAATATATTTTATATCAGAAAGCGTCTAATAAAAGCCATATGGACGCGCCGTAAAGTTTTTGGCACCGGATATTTTTAGTATAAAAACAGCATTTGAGCAAAAATGTGGTGAAATCTGTAAAACACTCTAAGCCGTATTATTAGATTATATTCTATTTGGACGCAGTGTGAAAATTTTATGAAATTTTAGAATATTTAGTAATATGCATAATCTTTACTCTGATACTCTATCTGTCTTCTCAGTGCTTAAAGAAATCGTTTGAACAGTTTTGAGGGCTTATATCCACTTGCAAGTGAGAAAAAATCGTTTTGAATTTTTATTGACATCTACATATACAGAATTTTATGTACTTTAAGAATTGGTAATTTTGCAAAATTTTGGGAGTCCTTTGATCCCGTCGCCAATTTCCGGGAAGATCTCCGAAAGAGGTGTTTTCTTGTGATAAAATTTACACTTTAGTGTAACTTAAAAAATCGGAATTTTTCGTCAAAACTCCGTTTGCTTCGATCATTACCTGTTAAATATATCTAAGAAGTTCGTGTAAAAATAAAAGTCGATCCGTTCAGCCGTTTTGTAAAAATTTTCCTCAACTACTCTGAAAACAAAGCGAAACCAAACGATTTTGAAAAAAAAGTCGCAAGTGGATAAAACACCTTCAGAGTATTAGATGTGAAATAAACTGGTCTTTAGGTCTTGGCGAATAACGAACATTTCGCGAATCACAGTATTTTCTGTTAAGAACTTCACGACTGCGAAACGTTCTGTTGAGATGATGCAGATTGAATTCGAAAGCTCTGTTCAAGAAATGTTCAGGCAATAAGAGGATTTATAATATACTTGTAGTAATATTTTTTGCACGCAATTAACATTTTTTAAACAAAAATAAATATATATTTTTTGAAATAATTTTTTTGGAAATCAGAAATATATATCTGTGCATTTTTGGTTAAAGAACTTAACTTGACATAGAATTTTTTATCAACTGAAGCTATATAGGGAATTATTATTATATAATATCCAACTATTTGGCAAATTCTTCTAGTAATAATGTACAAAGAGCAGTTAAAGTGTGGCACTTCACTGAGTGGACTTACAACAAAGAAAAGCAAAATGGATTTATGAATCGGAAATGACTTGACGATTGTAACTTATTTAATGAGGGAGTAATTTAATAGGGAAACAATGTTACTTGAAAGCAAACAAAAAATTTAAAATTAGTTTTAAAAATTATTTGTTTTATGGAGAGTTTTAAATCTATGATAGATAAGACCGAGCTTCTCCAACAATTAATGGCACGCGTTACATGACAAATGACATCAATTATTAGCTTATTAGCCATAGTCAATTATAGAAATATATTTACAATTCATGTAAATATTATACTAATCACAACATTTTATTTTATAGAGCTTGTAGGCATATTGAAACAATATAAATAATTATTTGTTTACGTTTGTAAAACGTTCTATGCCATCGTGGAATTATTCGCACACTTCAATTTATATGCAAATATTTAATTAAGAATAAACGCAGTAGATTTCCCCAATTATAATTTTTTTTTTAATAAATATTATTTAATAAACAAAGTCGACTGAACTACACTGCGCGACACAAAAAAAATCCGAGCACTTATAGGAAGCGAGGAAATAAACAATAACAGCTTAAGTTCATATATAACTGGATTTTCAAAAAATCGCTAGATTTGGGTCTATTTTTAGGCGTTTGGACAGCTTATTTGATCAATTATATATTTTCTCTTAGCTAATAATGGGAGCCGATTGCACTAAGTTCAAAAAATTGTGGATTCAAATATTGACTGTTTTAACATTAACATTTTATCTATTAACAAAATTTAAAATAATGCCCAAAATGACTGAGGTTAAATCAGTTGAGTTACATAATAAAATTTAAAATAATTTCTTTACCAAAATTTCACTAGCGAAATCACCTAATTTTCGTATTAATTGTGCATGAACTACAATGATTTATGTTATCAATTATTGCGACAGTCTTCTCGGCCTTAAACTTTGAAACACTTTCTGGAAAATATATACAAATTATACTTTATTGATAAAATTTCAAGTTAAAGGCGGTTGTCAGCTGCATGTGCCAGTTCTGCGACTGACCAGAGTGCGTTTATTCACCTTTCATAATTTTTTATAATTTGATTAAGGTAGCGTTGTATGTAAGTATGTTAATTCTCAGCTAAGGTAGCGTTGTATGTAAGTATGTTAATTCTCAGCTCGTGATCAGATTAAATGCTTTAATACTTAAGTATGACTTTAGTATAGGGGAACTAGATTATTTTGCGTAATTTTGGTATCACTGTGTATTTATTTTCATAAAATCCAAATTCGAAATTGCGGTCTAATTCTTTCCTCAACGACAATAGAAAAAGCTAAAAGAAAGCCGTCTATGAGTAGTACTAGAATAATATTTATATGTCCTAGTCAAGACCAATTCATACATATCAGTTTAGTCGAGTTAGATTGCTCAAGTTGCTGATGAGATTTATTTCCCCTTAACTTCATTAGACGCTTTCGAGACACTTGTTTGCTTCCACGCAAGCACCTCACGTATGACTTCTCAAGCTGAACCGTAACTTGTAGCATACTGTTAGACCATAACACCATTGCTTTCCGCAAATTTCTTCGAGATTTGGTTTATTTGGTTCTACCGAAGGCTTTTCCGCGAATTGTAAGCCTATTGAAAAGTTTTGTTGAGTTTCTGGTGATATTTTTAAAATGTTTTCTACTTATATTTATATTTAATTCTCCTGTTATCTTCATATTTCGACGAATATCAAAAATATGTGTATGCAGATCTATCTGTGGCGTAACAGCCAGTCAGTATAAGCTAACCTAATGTAACCTTCAATTTTTTTGTCCATTTCCGGTGGTGCCTCAAATCTGAAATTTTTTTCTATGCTTCGATTGATACCTGCTTCGCGATTATACCAAGTGAACATCATTACTCAGATTTCATTGCCCATAATAGCATTTAAAGCATACCCGAACCGCCACAGGTTTCAGTCGGTTTGATAATACGATGAAATATAATTTGTACTTAGTTGCTATCTGACCAGATTTTTGACAGGCTTCTAGAGACTTGGTAGCGCTCCTTTTGTTTACACACCGCAAGAAAGCAGCATTGATATTATTTTTAAGTAGCGTTTGATTGCTGCCGATGTTAGCGCAAACGAGCTTCTATCAGTCAAACAAGGGTTAATACCATATGTTTCTTCCATTATATATATGTATATATATACTAAACTAATATTTTTCACATGTTTGATTGATGCCGATATTTGATTGGCATCATACTATTTTATTAATAGGTACAACCATACACGCGCATACATACTTACATACTAAGATGCATACTTAGGGGCTTACCTTGTAACTATGCAAATGATTTAGCTTTTTTGTCGATAGCCTAATGCATATTTAATCATTTTTTTTGTTCGTAATCAGTGCTTTGCAATGAGTTTCGGTTCAATGACAATTCTTGACCTTGATGTTTTTTTTACTACAAACAGCATCTTTAATCAATAATAATTTTCCTTTTCTTAATCTATTTTACATTAGCAGCACGTGTTGAACGCTTTTAGTTAGCACCGTGCTCCAGTGTTGCACTACTTATATTAACACACCCACCCACTCACTTGATTAAATGCCAACATGTCCAAGTCCAAAAGACTTACGGAAATGGACGAAAAGGACTCGCTTTCCATAATGGATAGCTTATGCGCGCCGAATGTATGCTGTGTGCACGATGAAACGGTGGGTAATTAGTTAAGCCAACAAAACAGACTCGCATAATGGAACTCTGAATTCTTCTTCACAGATCGATCTTGGCAGCGATGCCTTGGAAACGCCAATTGCTGATGTTGCCGCTGGCGGTGAACGCGAGAAATGGAGTCGTGAAATAGAGTTTCTCTTCTCGTGCATTGCACTCTCTGTCGGGCTGGGCAATGTGTGGCGATTTCCGTTCATAGCGTTGGCGAATGGTGGTGGCGCCTTCGTTATACCCTACGTCATTGTATTGCTACTTATCGGTCGTCCCGTCTATTATATGGAGGTGCTTATCGGACAATTCGCCAGTCGTGGTGCAGTGGGGGTGTTCGATATGGCGCCCATTATGAAAGGTGAGTAGCAACTGACGAAAGTGAAAGGTTTGATTAAAATAGTGTTTGGTTACAAGACATATTTACTATTTTTTTTTGAGAAACTCTTAAGAACTTTCCAGATTAAAGGATTTTCCTGTATCCTTAAATCTTGCTCTTGCTTTCTGCATATGGTTCTACTCGACAACGGTGTCTTCTTACTCTTTATAATTTTCTATAAAAATCTAGAGACATTTTAGCGTCTCCTTGATTGGTTTCGTTTATTTGATGTCTCTTAGTCGCACCAGTAGTTACCAAAAGTAAGAGTTAATCGCTACTATTTGAATTATAATGGGAGAACAGCTCCAGGTTATTTTTTTCATGTGTATCTTCGTATAAGTTCATGGCTTAAATCTCTTCTAAGCTTCTTGATGAAGCTCTTAGTATAAGCTTTTCCATATCATGCCCATGCATTAAGTATACGGTAATTCTGAGAGACTCTTCCATATCAATTCTCTTACATATCAGTAATTTTCAGTACAAATAAAATTACGTATACGAGTAATTTAGACTTCCGAGCACTAGAATAATAACATATCCATGAAGTAGATTATTAATGAATTCGAATCCTCAGGCATCGCGTATGGTCAAGTTTATGCAACAGCACTGGCAACTACTTACTACGCCGCCATTATGGCACTAACTATCAAATACTTACTTGCTTCATTCGCCGAAATACTACCCTGGGCAACATGTCTACCGGAATGGGGAGATAATTGTGTATCAATTACTAGCTACAATTCCAGTGCCAATGACAATGCTACAGAGGGAATGCTCATCTCTTCAGCCGAATTGTATTTCACGTGAGTTGCAATTGATTTCTTTGCATACAGAGAGTTACATAATTCCTACCAACAGCAAGGTGGCGCTGCGCGAGAAGGACAATATCGAAGATGGCATCGGCGCACCGAATCGTGATTTGGTGATCTACTTATTTCTTGTGTGGGTGTTGATTGCGATAACGCTGATTAAGGGTAAGATCCAGTAACGTATAATAATTATACTAATGTATAATAGTATGACAACTATTTCACTTTTCTTCAAGGTATTCACAGTTCCGGTAAAGCTTCGTATTTTCTGGCTTTATTTCCTTATGTCATACTATTTATTTTGCTTGGACGTGCTTTAACCTTGCCTGGCGCCTGGGATGGTATAGTTTATTTCTTAAAACCACAATGGGATCAGCTGCTAAATGCTGATGTAGGTATCAAGATTTAGCATTATTCATCATTTCGTCATATTTATGAATTTCGTATTTCTTCTAACAGGTTTGGTACGCCGCGATCACACAAATGTTCTTCTCGCTAGCGATCTGCTTTGGCACATTGATTATGTATGCCTCGTTCAATAACTTTCATAAGCGGGTGCATAAGTGAGTAGCGTTCGTTTTATAGAGTTTGATGATACTCTGATTTGAGTACTCTCTTTGAATATAAGTTCGGTTTTACCCGTAATGTTAAGATATTTTATCACAGTTGTCTTGAGCCAGGGACGATGACTTAACTTAAGTTTGTAAGGCAAAATCTTGAACTGCTTTATTATGACAGGATCGTAGAATGGCAGTTCAAAGACGTTTCGAACCTTTTGTCATTGCTTTGTTGTCAGTTTAGTCAAAATTTTGTTCCATTTGTTTCGAAGCCCTGCCATATGAATTTATATAATTAGTAACATCCATGTAACTTGTTTGACCGAGATTCTCCACATATTTGTGGGTATATCTCAAGAAATAAGCGAATTTTAAGTTTTGAACTCTTTTTGGCTCTAATCGGCCCTCAATGACTGTACCCGTATCTTAGAGAGCCTTATCGACTTTCTCTATCTCTTACCGGTAGAACTAAGTTGAGCATTATACCCCTATAACTATAAGGCGTTCATCATTGAATTTTGTACGGAATATTTCAAAAAGCGATCCGAGTTCTGTCGAACCGTATCCGATATCGACAAAATAAAGTTCATAGATATTTCCTTACACTTAACCCTTATATTATAAGGGAGTTCTACAAACCAAATAACACATTCCTGTCAGGCGGGATATCGAAAGGGCTCACGAGGTTACGAGAAAATGGTGTATCTCCATAAGTTATTCTGATAATTATCTACTCTCAGACAAATAAATGATAATTAGATAATTCTTGACTTATAAATCTGCACATGATATTTATTAAAATCTCTTCAATTTTTTACCACCATAGAGACGTCATAATCGTGACCACAATAGATTCCTGCACCTCAATACTCGCTGGTTGTGTCATCTTCGGTATACTCGGTAATCTAGCGCTGGAAACGAATACCAAAGATATATCGAAGGTGGTGAAGGGTGGCGCTGGCTTGGCCTTCATCTCATATCCGGAAGCTATAGCGAAATTTAAATTGTTACCACAATTATTTTCCGTGCTCTTCTTCTTCATGTTGTTCGTGTTAGGTAAGTAATAGAAAAGAAGTAAAGAGAAATAAATAGATATATAAACAGAGTGATAGACGTAGAAGAGCGGTTGTGTATAACTCAGGTTTTCTCTCTCCTCCCACTAGGCATTGGCAGCAATATAGGCATGTCTTCCTGCGTGATAACGGTATTCAAAGATCGTTTCAAACATCTACCACAATGGGTGATAACTATCGGCTTTTCAATATGCAGTTTCCTATGCGGACTCATCTACACGACACCGGGCGGACAGTTTCTACTCAACTTAATTGATTTCTTCGGCTGCTCATTTATAGCATTATTTTTGGCTATTGGAGAGATTGTGACTATATCGTGGATTTATGGTGAGTAGCCGATTTATGTATTTATATTTTTTGTTCGTATATGTGAGAGATTTTTATGTGTATTCCGCTCTCACCACTACCAGGCGTCAAACGCTTTTGCAAGGATATTGAATTTATGTGTGATCTCAAAACTGGTATATATTGGCGCATCTGCTGGGCCATTTTCACGCCTGGACTCATGTTTCTTGTGCTCGTCTACACGTTGGTTACCTACAAACCGCTCGTATATAAAGACGTCGCCTATCCAGACTATATCATGAATATCGCTTGGCTCTTGTGGTTCATTGGTGTCGGTCAATTGCCTTTTTGGGCATTATATACAGTTTACCAGCAGCCGGGTGGTACGCTAAAGGAGGTGGGTACTAGTAGAGCGTTGTATACCTATAAGCAATATAGTCATATATATTTTTTTTTCATACAGAAATTCCGTCAAGCCATACAACCCGAATCCAATTGGGGTCCGGCGTCACCAGACAAATACGAGAAGTATCTACTATTTATGAAGCATTCACAGCAAATACCGGATGATAGTTGGACGACGCGAATATATGACAATATTTTCGGTTAATTTTAAGTGAAATTCAGCATTAAGTACTTAAAGCGCCTGCTTAACTACCTACTTATGTATGTATATACTTACACAGCGTTTCTCGAGCGCAAAAATTACAAAAATATGTTTTAGCTTTAAATTTACTTTCCTAGTTGGTTTTAGCTTTGTTTTATTATTAATTTCGCTGCTTTAAGGTTTTTATATTTATAATAAAGAAAGTACTTAGTTACTCTAAAATTTTGTAAATATTGTGTATTTGATATATATTTTTATAATACATATTACCGTTAATTGCTTAGTTTGTTAGCTACTGCATAATGTCGCATGAGAGAGAGAGAATTGGAAGAGGAAGAGTGCTTTCGCTACTTTTTTTTCAGAAATTCCACGTGACTGACTTACATAGCTAGTTTAGGCAGGCGGTGCAGTAGTGGCAAGTAGTAAATTGATTTTTATAGTGTTTATTTTCGTTTTATTTTTTTTATTTTTATTTTTTAAACTAATTCTTTGATATGATTTTGTTTTTACTTCTAGCGAAAGGAGCGAGGCACGAATTTTCGAAAATTTATATTTTAAATACCGTTATTTATAAATATTTCCACTCTTCACAAAATGTATGTATAAATTGTTTTTCTAATATAATATTATAATAAATTTTTATTATTTTGATTTTTTTATGAAAATCTATGCCAAACCTTTGCAGCTTTTAAGGCAGATAACCTCAAAAATTAAAGCGAAAAGTAAAAAAATCCAAAAATCAAGACCAAATATTAACTTCGGCTGCACCGAAACTATAATACCATTTACAGGGACGTTTGTTGAAGTATAAAAGGTTATAAAAAGATCTTTAGCTAAATTTTGATCGGTCAGTTAGTATGGCAGCCTTACTCCGATCGTTCAGTTATTATGACAGCTATATGCTATAGTCATCCGATCTATACAATTTCTTAAATAATAAACCATGCCAAATTTCGTGTATATACCATGTCAACTGAAAGAGGTTTCCATAAAAGCACTTGATTCTGATTGTTCAGTTTGTATGTATATATACAGACAGATGGACAGACGGACATGGCTAAATCATTTCAGCTCATCATGCTGATCATTTATGTATATATCTTATAGGGTCTCTGACGTTTGCTTCTGGGTGTTACAAACTTCGTGGCAAACTTAATATACCCTGTACAGGGTATAAAAACCAGTGGTTCCCAACTAAAAAATTTTTTTTTTTAATTAAAACTACTTAATTTCAGCATCAAATAAGCGAAAGTAAATGAAAAGTAAAGCCATTTTAAATACCAAATCAAAAATCAGTGGTTCCCAACAAAAAAAAAATATATAAAAAAATCTAAAAATACTACATCTTAGCATGATATTGTATTAATTGTATTAATTCAGCTAATAATTTTAAAATGTGGTTCTAATAATTTATTATTTAATATTTTTCCTACTTTTTTGAATTTTTCGACTTTTTAAATTGCTGGTTTTTGTGTTTATTTAATTTTTGTGTTTTCGCAATTTTTATTTCTTACTGCTATCTTTGAACTACTACATTTGTAACTTTTAGTTATAAAATTTAAAGCGATATTTTATTGTTTTTATTTACCTTTTATTATTACTCTCGTATTTAAAATTGCTTAAATATAATTTTAATTTTTTTAAATTTAATTGCAGCTTAATGGTTTTTCACTGAGTGTAGCACTTTTGCTCGCATTTATTGCGTAATTGATTTTTGTTTTGTTTATCACAGCATTTTTGATTTAGCAAGTATTTATTGATTTATTAATTTAAAGCTATTTATTGCTACTGTTGTTTATTTATTAATTTTTATTTTGTTTCTAATAAACTTATTGCGTACTGATTTACTTAAATGTTCTACCTTATTATGTAATAATCATTTTGGATTTCAAAATTTATTAAACAAGCGAATCAAAGTTGGTTTGTTGTTGCAGTTTTATCTAAAACAAGTGTTTAGCGTTAGTTTTCGAAATTTCAGTTTTTGAAAATTACTTATAAATTTTTATCTTCTTTTTGTTTTTTTTTTTCAAACTTATTTATTTAGTTTTTGATATATGTAGATTGGTTTTTTAATCCTTTACTTAATAATAATTCAAAAAAATATTTTCTTATTACTATTTTTGTTTTAACTTTTTTTTTAATCTGTGCTTTTGTTTGAGTTTTCTATGATATACAAGGAAAAATAGAATCTTCCTTTCTTATCGAGATTCTCATCTTTTATCCTTTCTCCCTTTAAAACTGATTTCACAACTCCTTTTAAATCGTTGCTGAATATAACTTGTCCCTCTCACCTTTGAAACTTTTCACACTTAATGTTAATAGAGCACACCAAATTTTGATATCATCTCCTAACGATTTTCCCTAGTTTTTTCATTTCACCGTAAAACGAAAGGAGCAACGACCGTTTGTTATTATATATATTGTTTGTTACTATATGCATGATTAGTTTAAATTACCATTATTTTCGTCGATGACAAATTACACTAAATTTTCCACAAACCAACCTAACTGTAACTGAACATTTTATACTCTTGCAACTGGCAAGAATCAAATGCCTTCAGGTGTCGGCAAAACTTTATATTAAAAAATGTTGCATTAGAATTAAACCTCCATTATTCCAAGAAATGTGAGTAAATTACTATGAATTTGGTATCTGCTTGCCTTAGATTATTAACTTAGACTTTATTTTATTGCTATATGGTATTTTAGTTAGCATTATTACTAAAATTATACTAAAAACATCATCAAACGAGATACACGTGATATCAACTCAACCGAAGCGGCTAACGCTAATAGATTGAGTTGATGTGGAAAACGTCAACCAGAGAATCGGAATTCATTATATTAGGGATATAAGATTTAGACTAAGGTGTAAACTAATTACATTCTAATTCAGCGCTAAACCACATATTTTTAAGAAAACTTGTCCATTTAATTTCATAAGATATAACATTTTGATCAACCTGAACGGTTTAAAGTCAGGTCGAAAGACGGAAATCATATCATACGAGTATATGGGGTATGTCAGGGGCAGAGAAATGGACGGGCATTAATTTTAACATTGCTCAGGTATACTTGAGAACATATTTTCAAGTATTTTTTAAGTATATAACTTACACACTGAATGACATATTCGCCATAAAATTTGTTAGAAAAACAAAAATCATTAAATATAGTATATGTGAGTTGGGGGTAGTATTGACCCGATTTTATATATTTTTGCCAATACGACATACTATTAAGATGCCACGTACAAATAAAATGCTACTTGGGTTGGATTAAGGTACCTCACATATCATCACTAATCTATATGGACTTAAGTCAGCCGAATGTTCGGAAATTCTGATATTAGTTATATAGGGGCTAGGTCAATTTTTAAGCGGAGTTTTTTCATTTAAGGCAAAAAGATACACTGTTATTAGAGAACACGCTCTCTCATTTTTATTGAAATAACTCACATATTGGCCGATAAATACGGTATAGTCGCCCGGAACTTCGAAAATCTTTACATTTGGTATATGGGGGCTCAGGGAAGTATAGACTCGATTCAAACCATTTTGGACATACAGACCTCCTATCATCAGAAAAAGATTATCTCTGAATTGCAATTATATATCTCACACATCGACCGATATTTTCTGTAACAAATCAACTATAGGTACTGTGGTCCACATATTCGGAAGCTTGGACAGTTGTAGTTCGATTTAGACAATTTTTGGTCACAATGTGGCATACTTTAAAGGCATTATTCGGACAAAGTTTTATCCGGATACATTGAAAGTATCAAATGGAATTTAAAATTGTGTTATATGGGGAGTAGGCGTGGTTGTGGTCCGATTTCCTTCATTTTGTACATTCATTGTAAATCTACTTTTGCACTGTAACATAGGAATATTAGAGGAATTTTATGCACCAAATTTAGTTGAAATCGGTCAAGCAGGCCCCGAGATATGTGATTTCAACTAGAAGTGGGCGGTGTCACGTCCCAGCGTCCAATTTTGACACCGGCTCCTATAAAGCCCTTTTGTACCATCCTGGATGTAAAATTTAATGTCTCTGATGCATTTCGTTATTGATTCATCACACTTTTAGTTGTTTTTAACATAACCGCTTAGTGTTTTTTATCATAACTGTTATATGAGGTGTACAAAACTATTATACCCTGTAGCAACATGTTGCAAGAGTATAAAAAATATAATAAATTAGATAATCTAAGCTAAAATTATTAATGTTGTTAATCTTAATTAAACAATTTATAATTTAAAATAAAAATATAATAAATTAGATAATAAAAATTAAAATTTTAAATGTTGTTAATCCTTATTAAATTAAATTATTATTTAGCAATAATATAATATCTTAAATTACAAATTTATATCATATTTTATTTTTTAAATTAGTTTGTGCATTTTTTATTAATAAATTCAGCTGATCTGGCATTTTTCTGCTATTCTTTTGGCGCATACCACTTTCTTGGCTGACTGATATATTGTCCTTTCCAAAACTGTAACATTTTATATATTTATCACTGTAAAAATCATCCAATATTAATTATCGATAATTGTATCGATAACACTGCATGTACTTATATTATATTATATGTGCCCATATAATAGTGTCGTGAAAAATGTTATTAAATTTATTAGTAAAGCTTTGCCAGAATGATGTACGTTGCCATATTGTATTACTAACGGCATATGTATTCACATGCATACACAAGCATTTCGGTGTGTTGTAGCAGTTATAAAAGATCATACATATGTATGCAAGAATTCATTCATATTGAATATTTATTTTAATGCTTAATTTGGCTACTTTTTATTTTTTAAAATTAATGTGTAGGTATTAATTTCAAAAATAGGTATATGTATATGTTTTATCATATATACATATACTATACATTCATCTTGTTTTTTTCTTTCTGCCAGTATTCATTCATATATAATACTAAAATAGTACCACCATTATTGCCATATCTTCTCATTCTAAAAGCTGATTGTTCAAAAATCGTATTTCTTCTTTCGGTTGTTGGACTAAGTTCTGGATTAAATTATTATTTTTTTTTAATAATATTTTTTTTTTACTTTTCAACAATTTTACAATTTACTTGAGCTTGCCACATGTTGATATTTCTATTACTTTTATGCTCTTTTCACTACTTGGCTTTATTAAATCTGTGTTCTATAAATAAATAACAATTTTTAATTTAATGCAATTGCTTCTTTTTTTTCAATTTTATTTTCTACAAATTTTTAAACTCAATTCTTTTGTCTTAATTTAAATTTATCACACGTGTGTATGTATGTATGTCGATATACATTTGTTACTTTTCTCCTCAAATTTTACTTTTTTATTGACAATTGTTGTTGTTTATTTTTTTGTTTTTTATGTTTTCTCATAACCTTAGAACACTTGTATTGGCTTGTAAAGTCCCGTGTAGCCGCAGAGGCGCGCTCGCAATGCGGGAATCAAGAAGGCAGCTGAAGAGATATCCTTAAGCAAGTCAGCACATTCGCATACCAACAAATACATTTTATCGCCACGCTGCGAGGTGCTTTTATGTAGAGCAATACGACGTAGACCAGCAGCACGTGGCAAATAACTGTTGTTGAGTGTGGAGCAAGAGAAGAGTAAAAGAAAATTTATTATTTACTTCGGTAATAAGGAGTATTCTAGGGAAAAGTGTAAAAAATAAGTCAGTTGTGGTGATTTTCCCGCTACAAGTAGTAGTTGACTGGGCTAAGGCTAAGCACATAGTGGAACAAAAACGAGAAGACAAACAGTTCAGTCCGATAAGCTAGTCAAATATTAGCCATTTATAAAAATTACTGTTATAGAAGTTTTCATTTTCTCTCTTTTCTCTCATATCTGCTGTATGGCACGTTCTACTGTGTGCTCAGCCTAAATCAGCTTTTTCGTTCGCTATAAAACAGTCGTTTTAAAAATTATAGAGTTGATTATGCCCGTCACTACCATCATACAATATACTGTACCGAAAACTGTAAAACACTATACCGGCGACTTTGTCTTCTTTAACATATATAAAATATTGACCCGATCTAATAAGACCACCCTATAAACTGCTCCAATTTTCGAACTTTTAGTGACTTATTTCGTGACATTAACAACAATTTTTTGCCCTGTCTTCAATTTTCATCCTCCACTTACCGATACAGCATACGCGCTCCCGTCCAGTACAGCCAATTCTTCTCGAAACGTTCACCGTCATCGCCTTCAAAGACCTAAGTGTATACAGTACATAGAATTCATTGAAATTAAATATTTTATTCACTTGTGTGCCAAAAATTATGTAAAGCAATATTAACTCTACGCTATCTGCTCCCATATCTAGGAAAATCTGATATCAACCCTTTAGTAGTTATTAAAAATTCCATTTTGACTGTAGATACAGGAATAGCACTCTACTTAGTATACCCTGCAGGAAATTTCACCGAAAGGCAAGTAGGGCAAAGCTGTGTTTGCTTAGGCTGGTGCGTGATACTTCTTAACGTAGGAAATTTATCATCATAGTAGTCACAGTACCATATTTCAACCTTAGGCTGAGGACCATTTTCTAAAGAGTTATATGAAGAGAAAGAGTTCTGGCATACATGGATATTCAAATATTTTTCAGATGTATGTGGAGTAGATTCCTTCGACAAAATATTTTCCCAAGCATGTTATAAACTGTCATAAGGTTTCAAATCCTGTTACTGCGTATATTATTTTGAGTAGTTCAATACATAGAAAACAGTTGAAATAAATCTCCTTGAACTAGTGAGAAGTCATATTATAGAATATTAAATTTCTACCAGATAATGGAACCGAGTAGTATATGGCTCCGAAAAGGTACGGCTAAACAGATTGCCATAAAAATTCTGATAAATCTTTTGATTAATTAAAAGTTTTTGTATTACAAGGAAAACTAGGCTTTACCACGACAGAAAGATTTTATCTGTTTCGGAAAATAAGACAGAAAAGATTTGGAACATTTATCAATATTCAAAAACTGAAAACGGTTGAGGAAACTGCTTATATTAAAACGTATGTTTCGTCGTTTGTTCTTATTTCGACCTTTCTTAATGTGACGTTAACTTAGGGAGCCGAATAAAGTTTACCAAAATATGTGAATGGAATACTACTTTGAGGTTCTTGATTATATAATATATGATGTTTGAGTCGCCTACAAACTTTCCCTGCAGGGCTGTTACTCTTAAAGTGCTTTGACAGCTAACTCATATAAATATTTAACTAGACTCAAGCATGTTTAATATCAATTTTTATATACCTATATATATGTATACATTTAACGGCACATGCATACCTTAAACACACTGATTATATAGCCTGTTGCTGGCGTCTGTGTCTTCTTGAAGCTACCACTTTCATTGGGCGCCAACACCAATGGCGGACGGCAAATGGCAGCCACTTCGCTGTACAAGTCCAAGGTATGAGCGGCAGTATATCTAGATGTAAAGTAAAAATAATGATATATGGAAACTGTTGAAAGTTTTGTTGAAGGTATGGCTAACAATGAGAAGGGTATATGTATGTATGCAGTCATTGGACAAAAAATAAATTACAACTAAATCACAAGTGGCTCACAATGAGCTTTTATTGCAATAAAAATATTGATAGAATTTTTTAACAAGGTACATATGTATATACCTAACTAAAGATACATTAAGAAGATAGGGGTGCACAAATGCCAAGTAAAAAGCTTTTTAATAATTTCTTAGTCTGCACACATAAGTTTGGTTAGGTTGGAGTAAGGGTAATGTTCGCTGCAAATAATTGGAGACTATGAAGTCGCTCTAAATCGAGTTTAAAACTACCACTGATAGACTTCTTACAAAATGTGAGTCCATATTTTTTATAACTTCACTATAGACAAGTAATGAAATTTTAATTCTTCCGTTTCATAATCAGTTCACCAGTAACTATATAATTTTTTTGTGATCTAGAATAATCTACAATCCCGAGTCTTACTAAATACAAACTATAGGATCGAGTGAAATGAAATCCATGATTTTTGCATAACTTAATGTAGTTCAAATGATCCGATTAAGATTACATATGCACCGTTTTTCAAGGTTATTTTATAATGGCACTCCAATAGAAATACCCGTCCCTGTTGGCTAAAAAATGGAGCAGTTGATTTGCATAAGCTTCTAAGTAAGATTCCTATTGGCGCTTGCAACAGAATCTACAATTTTGCCTAACCTCACCTACCTACTAAATATTTATATGCAGACTTGGGGACTTGGCTGCGACTTTTTATAAAATGTTTGATTATGACAGTGATCTCTAAACTGCAATCTCTTTATACTCACTTTAGTGATTTCGGCTCGAATTTCGATAGTGATGAGCCGCGTATGCCCGAGTAAAAGTGCGATGGATCCGTTTGTGTAGTATTAATTAAATAGTACGATATAAATGGGAAATCCGCTGTGAAGCAAATCAAAACAAATTGTTTTCTCTACTCTACACATTTAAGTTCGACCTACCATTCTTCTCCATATTAGCCAATAGCATGCCACCTACTGCCGTATTCGCCTGTTGCACCTCGGAGACGAGCTCTGCTGCAATGGCGCGTTGTTTCAACAATGGATGCGACAGCGGTGATTCCAGCATTGGATCAATCGGTTCCAAAGGACTCATCAAATGTACGAGTATGCATAACTTCGGATCGGAGACCTCTAGTATGCTAAGTGGGCTGTTGGTCTTACCATCAGCTGAAGGTGCGGGTAGCTACAAGAGATATGTTGATTTTATTAGTTTAACTGTAGCTTTTTGCGACTTTCACTTACCGGTATACCAGCTGGCAGAAAACGGTCGACACTGTGTACCGGTATAATGAAACAATCACGATCCAGCGCTGACAATGAAATCGGTTCGGATCGCACTGCAGCCGATGTACCGGCCGCATTGTCGTAACCAACTAGAAAAATGTTTTTGTAGACAAATTATTGTTTATTTTTGTAAACAGCTTAGTTAGTTAAAGAGTTGCTTAAAATTTTAATACAAAAATGTTTGTTACGTAGCATAAAGCTTCATGAAGCTTTTAGTTAAGAGTTTGACAAAGCTTCGTCAGTATTTTTGTAAGATTTAGTAATTTTTTAAATTAAATTGATCGCAGTAGTATAAAAAGCTTTCACTGTTAAAGGACTTACACATATGATATATGAGTTGATAAGCTTCATAGAGCTTTATAAGCCACAGCTGGTGCTTTTGCTGTTTAAAATACTTTGTTAGTTAGTATTATCTTGGCTGCACAAGTAAGACTTTGAACTTTTTAAAAATATTTAGAAGATAGGAAATATACTCTAAATATAAAAAACGTTTATGAATGGTTATTAAGAGCTTTAAGTGGAAGTTTATATTTATTCTTGGCTTAAAGTTTATTTAGCAGCAAAAGCTTCTGAAAACTGCATTTTTACTTGCATTTATATAGTTTAAGAAGAAATCGAATCAAAAACTTTTATACGAAAAAGAATGGAAATTGCGCTATAGCTTTCGGTTAGGTTAAGAAAAGCTCAAATGAAATTAAATTTCAGTTTTTGAAAACAGCTTTCAATATTATTTAGTTAATATGGTATTAATTACTAGTTAATTGATTACAATAACTTTTTCTAGTTATTTTTTGCAGCACAGGGGAAACATGAAACCAAACTTTACCGTTAAAAAGCTTGTGAAATCTTTATAGTTATACAAAATTGTTTTCTAAAAGCCTTAAATCGACAAAACAACACATCGCAGAGTCACAGACCGTTAACCACATTATCATAAACTTTAATATTTATAGACGCTTAGACGATATGAAAGCAAAAGGACACGTAGTTTTACGAAAAAAAGCTCAATTCCGTATGAAAGTAATACAAAACTAACTTCAAGGTCATTCTTTGCGGAAAAAATTAATTCAAGGTCACTCTAGGCATTACACGAAATTTACTTTATGTACTTTTATTGGCCATTGTTCCCCTGTGTGAAATGATTTACACTAAAATTTGCTTCTCCAGCTTTCAAGGCAATGTTAGACGTCAGGAAAGGAATGCAGATGAATGGAGTAAGGATGGTGGGAGGGTGGAGGACTTGTAATGGATATGTAGGCTTATCTATTTGTTTAAAGAATAGGCGCTTTAACACAAATTAATACAATTTTTAATTGCTTAATTTTTTTTGACATCTTTGTAATAATTGCGCTAAAGAATTAGTTTTGCAGCAATGGCTTTTGATCGATTGATTTATTAACGACAAAATATGTACTTAAATTAAGTTTTTTTTTATTGAACTTGCATTATACTCTTATTTTCATTATTATTATTTTTTGCTGTTTTTTTATTTTATTTTTTATTTTGTCAGTCGTATTAGAGAGGAAACGGAAATTCAAACCTTGCCTGGCAGCTTGAAAACGCGCCGTTGTTGTTGCTGCTGCATTCGATAGTACCGTAGCAACCTGACCATTCTGTATTCTAACACTATTATTCCATCTTAATAGAGATATGGACGGCTTGCGATCGACTAGGGGCTGCGGTGCGTCCACTTCATATGGCTGAGGTGGAAGTGAAAGTGATGTTGTTGTGGTCGATAACGGTGTGTACGCACTCGAAAAGGCAGTGCACCTTTCTGCAATGAGTTCTGTTGATTTAAAGGATGTTTGTTGTTGTTTGCATTTACTTATTTTTTTTTTTTTTGGTGTGTCTTTTGTGTACTTTTTATTTTTAAAACGTGTATTTTTGTTAGTATGTGGTTTAGTAATGCGTTTAACTTACTTACGTGTAAGAACTACATATGCGCGTGTGTTTGTATTAGTGAAGTCAATAAAAAAAACTGTGTATGCGTTATTTACAGAAAACGCCTACGCAAAATTTAGTCAGTTAACTTAATTGAGTCAATCAACTGTTGAGACAATTAGCTTAAGTGAATCAATTGTCTTAATTAAGTCAATTACTTTAATGAGGAAATTAATTTAAATAATAAGATTAATTGAGTAAATTAACTTAATTGAATCAGTTGGATTAATAGAGACAATTAGCTTAATTGAGCCAAATAGACAGTTGCCAATTATCATTATTAGTATATACATATATATACGTACATATATATTCAGATAATTTACTAATTGACTACATTAAAAGGCTGTCCGAAATGCCTATTAGATCAAAACCCGACCAGACATAATAGTCTTATGAAATAACTTTAAAACATTTAAAATGGTTTACACTATATAATACCATATAATATGAATAGGAATTAAATTAAAAGAAAAATATGTCTAATTATAATTTAATAGAGTACAAAATACTCCAAATAAGGGTATAGAACTTCCTCTCCGGCATTACCTCCTAATATTGGCAAACTTGGCAACATATTTTTAAAAGCAACATTAACCACTCTTTCAAAGGTTCGCTGATCAAAAAGAGTACGAAAATAGCGAAGTCTCTTATTAACCGAACACTCTTTTACTTTAAATTTTAATCAGTCGCTGTTCTTTCCTTGATTATTACATGAAAGTTCAACCTCATTAGTTAACCCCTAACTTTCATAAGCTATCTTAACCAAAATTAAATTTAAAAGCAAATAGATAATGTACTAAAAATAAGTTTTGGTAAAATCTGCCGAATTGATAAACTTTAGCTAAATAAAAATCTGGGACCATTAAGATTAATTTGACCTTGACTGTCATGGAAACGAGGAAAAGTTCCTCAAACAATATAAATCTGCATTTCAAACGAGTATCGAGTTTAAGTATAGCAAAGGTTGTTGTCGGGTCACAATAGGTACTCCACTTTATTACTGGGGAGCCCTACTTCGAAAACAAGACTTATACATATATATCGATTTTTCAAAGCTATTAAATATTATATATTATTATACTATTAAATATTATTATACGAATTTTTTCGAATTGTATAAGATTCCCCTTAGGTAGATTTTTTAGGCAATTTATCCGAAATGGTATAAAAGTTGTGGTATTTTTAATGAAAAAACCTTTTTTTTTCTTTTTATTTACATACGAAAATTTGAATGCTCCCAGACACCTTTTAAAACTAAACTAAAAAATTTCCTTGCAAGGATATTTTCTTCGCTGTATATAGGTTTATTTTTATACATAAATTCGATAAGGTTAATTTTTGGCTCACCCTAATATATATCTTAAATTGATACGATTTTTATAAAAGACTTACGGATTAGTACAGCTACTAGGCGATTATATGCAAAATGTTAATTGTATGAATATTAAATGAGTATGCTTGACACACATAGAGGATGGAAAACTTAAAAATAAAGAAAACGAAATAAAATATTATGAAAACAGTGCAATTTAGCGACGCGCGAGCGAACCCAAACCACTACGAGTGCATCAGTGTATGAGCCGAGTTAATTGTGCCGTAAACGAATGTAACATTGTTTTGATCTAAAGGAATTGATACGGTTTTCGGATTAGAAATTTTGAATAATTTCGAAATTTTTGAAATCTGTTATATATATATTTTTTTTTGAAATTTGTATAATTTTACGAATTTTGTGTGTTTCTACTTGGTTTGTTTTTTTCAAATTATTTAGTGTTTTCTTTTTGTTGTAATTTCAAAAAGCAACTTATTGCAGAATGGTGCAGCTAACAACAACATTTATGCATACGCCTACCTTCCCCCATATCCATGCCAGGGCGACTGGGTGCAAAGAATAAATGCGTGCGATAATGGATCTCCTCCTGTTGGGCGCCCATGTCGCGTGAGCGTTTCGTGCGATTAGCCTTCGGTTGCAGCTTACTGCCGCCGCCACCCGACTTTCCACCTCCACCTTCGCGAAAGTGCTTGCGAAACATTAAATTCATTTTGAGTGCTTTTGTTGTTGTTTAGGGTTTTAGTTGTTGTATTTGCTTTTGGTTTTGTTTTTGTTACTGTTTTTATTTTTCTTTTTGTTGTGTTTTATATGTCAAGTCTATGTATGTACATAAGTGTTTCTGTAAATACACTGTTGTTGTTGTGCTTGTAAGTTTTTGTGTGTGACGTGGCGTATGATCAACCTAGGTATAATAATATATTAGCGATGCGTTCGCAGTTCTTGTTGTTGTTTATTGTGGCAATATTAGAATTGTTGTTGTTTGTGTTTTTTGTTGACGTGTCGCTGTTGTTGTCGTTCACGGACAATTTTTCAGTTTTATAAACACTGCAGCTTTGCATGCGTTTATTATTGATGTTGCTGTTGTTGTTGTCGAATTATGCCAAAGGTTGACGATAAATACAAATATGTTTCGTTTATAATATTGAGTTTTTATTTTAATTTAAATATTATAATTTGTTTTGTATGGCAACCCTAATCAGTAAAATTTTATTTCACGCAAAATGCTGCCAAATTAAGTCGAAAAAGCATCAAATAATCGCAGCCAATTAAATTCCACACAAATGCTGCTCATTTACTATAGTCACCAACAACAATGGCGACGACCGAAAATTGCCCACAGCGTCAAAGTTACATTCAAGCCACTCTGTTGCCAGCAAATGCGCACGTGGCCAAGAGTAAAAGTGTTAGAGAGGCACAAAAGCGGCGTGGGCGAGAGACGGGGGACTAAAAGCAGCTTGATGCATGGCATATAACTTTACGTGCACGCTTGGGAAAAGTTAACAACAATAAAAAAATACGAGAGCGCGCATATTGTGAACTGTAAACTGTCTGACAGACTACAAGTATATACAACAACAATAGCATAGTAAAAGTACACACAAAAGACCGGCAAGTGGGCGCACAAGGCACCATTAATCACAAGCGCAGCAAGCGAACGCTCAAACCACTCATATTTACTGTAGAATACCAACACTCCCAGCAGTACAACTTTCTCACTCCCACCTGTCACTCGTTAACCTACTCGCTCATCTCTCTTTCACTCACCCGCTCTTTAATTCATGCATACGCTGACCCACCCGCTCATTGTTTACT